TCTTAGAATTACCACTGTTTTTTATCACTCTCAATCATCAGGCAAGGTTGAAGAACTAAAGGAATCCTCAAACTCAAAAGCTTTAAACTCACTGAAACTACTGGACTCCCTTGGCCTAAGGTATTGCCTTTGGCCTTGTTGACTATTTGTAGTACCTTCTTTGTGAGATAGTCACCCGTAGACCTATATATTTTGGTATACAACCTTCTGTTGATCTCTTGTTTGCACTGCAAGTCTTTAGTGTCTTATTCTAAAATCCATCATCAGCAGGTGAGAAAAAAAATTGATCCAGATCCCAATACAAAAGACCCTGTTATGCATGATTTGGTATGTTGGAAATGCCACCAGAGGAACATGGCCCTAGAACCCCACTGGAAGGGACATTACAAGGTGCTCCTGATAACTGACACTACTGCAAAACTGTGGGCACACATCTCCCAGCTGAAAAGGATCCTCCTGACACTTGTTTCTCCTCTTGAACGGGTGACCTTAAAACCAAGTTAACTAGGAAGCCAACGACTTCATGTGGTAGACCAGTTCCATTTAAGACATGAGAGCAAGAATTCATACTTTCACTAACATAAAACACGAAACCCTTTCTTTTCTCTTTCTTTACTAGGGAACTGTTTTGGAAAGATACTGCCATCATCCATATTCCCAAGCCATTGCTAAAGAGGATAACTTTCAACATGCTGTATTTGTCAAAACCCTCCCATTTGTCCACGATGTCAGATGCCACTTGGTCTTCCTTGTGACCATTTTTCTTCCATTCCCCTTGACATCATACTACAACTGAAGTTACGAACAGAGTCCGACTTTTACTACCAAAACATCAAGAACCTTTACTTCAACCTTTCTTTTTTTTTTTTTTTTTAAATTTTTATTTATTTATGATAGTCACAGAGAGAGAGAGAGAGGCAGAGACATAGGCAGAGGGAGAAGCAGGCTCCATGCACCGGGAGCCCGACGTGGGATTCGATCCCGGGTCTCCAGGATCGCGCCCTGGGCCAAAGGCAGGCGCCAAACCGCTGCGCCACCCAGGGATCCCAACTTCAACCTTTCTTCTATAATCACTGTACACTCTGGCAGGGAGGAATGCTTAAAAAAAAATTACTACATTCTCAACACCATGTTCTTATGATTCTCTGAGGACAAACTGCCCCTTTTAGAACTAAAAATTTCTCCGCATGCATCAATCTCTGCAAAGAGTTTAGAACCACCTTTTATTTTAGAAGAGGAAATTACCTTCCAAAGTACAATGAAAGCCTAGCTGATGATCCTAGGGTTTAGCTGGGCAAATGAAAAAAATCCCAGTGAATAAATTCAGTAGTAACAATACTTTCACAGGAGTAGTGTGTGCCCTAGAGGATTTTTATCTGTGGAGGTTTGAGGAAAAACATATTTTTGGGCTCCTGAATGCCTAGATGGCTGACACTCAATCAGACAGTGCCTTATGAGTTATCTAAATGTATCCCTAACTGCCCACAGTCAAACTGAGACATCTCACTGGCCAATTCCCCTCAATCTGCATTACTGAAACAAATGGGAACTGCCAGAGGCATTCATGATTCAGATTTTGTTTCTTTTGGCAGATCTCACTCCCATGGTTAGGAGCAAGTACAAGTGAGGCTGTGATCATGAACCTCTATTTAACTCTCAAAGATATTGCGGAATTGACTGTTAAAGCAGTAACCGCCCAACAAAAATCCCTAAACTCTCTGGTCAAATTTGTTCCTGATACTAGGGTTAGCCCTTCACTATCTTGTGGCTGAGCAAGGAGGTGTTTGTGCTGTGGCCAACACCACCTGTTGCACTTGGATGAATGCATTTAGGGAAAGTTGACTCTCAGCTGTAATAAGATCACTGACCCAGCCAATTGGATCTTTTAGAGAGTGACTCCTTCAGTGGAGTCTTCCTCTGATTTATTTGACCCTGATCGGTTTGGGTCTTGAGGACCATGACAACTCCACGGTGCACTCCAGACATTGGGAATCGTTCTACCTATTGTAATCATGGTAGTCCCCCTGGCACACTCTGTTCACTCAAAAGCTTTATTTTTTTTTTAATTTTTATTTATGATAGTCACAGAGAGAGAGAGAGAGAAAGAGAGAGAGAGAGAGAGGGGCAGAGACACAGGCAGAGGGAGAAGCAGGCTCCATGCACCGGGAGCCCGACGTGGGATTCGATCCTGGGTCTCCAGGATCGCGCCCTGGGCCAAAGGCAGGCGCTAAACCGCTGTGCCACCCAGGGATCCCACACTCAAAAGCTTTAAATGCATACTTGCACCCACTAATCACCAAGGGGATAATCTCCCTATTATTATAATGTCAGAAAAGTTACAAAGAGAATAACCAACTTAAAGAATGTGAACCTGACATTGTGCCTGTGATTACCACTCAGAGATTCAGCAAAAACCATGAGAATTCTAGGGTAGTAGCTGGGAGTTGTGCTAATGTCTTAAGCTTTTGTTCACATCTCTCAATTAGGCTGAGATTCTGATGTAAATCGGTTAGCTGTTAAGACAAGAAGACCAAAATGGAGTTGCTAATGCTAAGTCCCATTTCACCAAAATGGACTTAATTTACTTATAGTTTCGGTGACTTACCTATATTTTGGTATCCCAGACATGGAATTTGAAACCAGTTAAAAAAAAAACAAAATTCAAATTTGAAAGGTCTTACTGGCTTTATTCAGTGATTCATAAATCAGGCAGCATCCAGTCGAGCAGATAGAAAGAAGCTTCCGAGAGTTATACCAGGCAATACATTTTATAGACAGAAGGCAACGAAAACACGGATGTTACGCTAGACAAAAAGGTGAATTGTTTATTACAAGGCTACTTTCTTTACAGGGGACGACAGGGGCTTTTATCAGCAGATTACCTAACTAATGCTGCTCAGGAAATTCCTGATTGATTGGTTTAAGATTCCATTTCTGGGGATCCCTGGGTGGCGCAGCGGTTTGGCGCCTGCCTTTGGCCCAGGGCGCGATCCTGGAGACCCGGGATCGAATCCCACATCGGGCTCCCGATGCATGGAGCCTGCTTCTCCCTCTGCCTGTGTCTCTGCCTCTCTCTCTCTCTGTGACTATCATAAATAAAAAAAAAAAAAAAAAAGATTCCATTTCTGGGGCAGCCCTGGTGGCTCAGCGGTTTAGCTCCGCCTTCACCCCCGGGGCCTGATCCTGGAGACCCGGGATCCAGTCCCACCTCAGACTCCCTGCATGGAGCCTGCTTCTCCCTCTGCCTGTGTCTCTGCCTCTCTCTCTCTCTCTCTCTCTCTCTCTCTCTCATGAATAAATAAATAAAATCTTAAAAAATATCCCATTTCTGGGATAGCCAAATCTGTAGCTAAGTTTCAGTTTGGTGATGGGGGTGGAAGAAGAAGGGGAGCCAGGGAAGGGTTGACAAAGTCTGACTGGATCTTGCAATAGCCAGTGTTTTGTGGAGTCCTTAGAAGAGCAGACATTCCTTGGAGTCATGATAAGCATCTTGAGCTTTAGACACCTAAAAAAAGTTCCCCTGTCCCACAGTGCTGAGCAAAAAAGGTCAACCAATCACCGAGTAATCCATGGCAACTGAAATTTCCCTCCAGGGTGGTTTTCAGCTTTAAAAATACCACCTACCCCGGTCCTCTTCAGATGGGCACACGACTGAGTTGGGTTGCCCTTCCTGATTTGCAAACCCAAAGAAAGATTTGTGTCTTTTGTTCTTCCTCAGAAGGCTCACTCCTCCAGTTTTTTTTTTTTTTTCTCTTAGCATAAGCGACTCCATTTTGGGTCTGTTGTCTTTAGGAAGTCAATCAAGACTTTCCTGAAGATCATTAGTCAGGTAATCTATCTGATAAAACCTTGGCAGCCCCTGTAAGGAAAGTCACACTGCAATAACCAGTCTACCCTTTCACCCAATATATTTTTTCCCCTATTCCCTTCTTTCTGCCTGTGAAATCCCTAGCCTTGTATAGCTCTTGCAGCTCCGTTCTTTCTGTCTGCTAGACTACAGGCTGCCCGATTGGTGAATTGCTGAGTCAGTTTGTTGGGCCCAAGATTGCGAATCCGAGAAACCACCGAGGAGCCGACACCGATGCAAGCACGCGAGGGTTCATTTGCAAGCTCGAGCTTGGGTCCAAGTGCACCCGACACAGCGGAGCAGGGACTTGGACCCCGAGGTGGGTTTCAGCTGGATTTCTATGGGCTGGTCTAGGGGATTTCCAGTTAAGGTGGAGGAGTTTCTCAAGCTCTTAGTTCCTCATTCCAATATGGGACTTTCCATTAAGGGCGTGCTCTGCAGATTTTTCTTGGAACTGACTTGGGCTAGAGGCCGCAGTTGTTACTACTCATCTAGGGGCCAGAGGTGGGGGACACTTTCTGAATTTCCTGGGTCCCACGGTTGACTTTTGCTCCAAAGTAAACGACTGGAGGTCACGGGAGGTACAGTTGTGTGAGCGTGGCTGGAAGTCAGCAAGTGCCCCCGGCAGTGGTGGGGACGGGGGAGGGAGAGGTCCTCCGGGAGTGACGCGCGGCCCCCTTAACAGCTCTCCCTTTGGCCAGAACCGGTCAGCCACAAGCTCGGGCTCCGTGCTTTGCCCCCTGGTTTGGGATCCTGTTCTCCCCCGGGGCGGGGACGGGGGCGCGGTCGGGCGCACCCGCTGGAAGCGGTGTGGGCTCCTGGGCTCTGGGGCTGGCCCTGGCGCCCGAGGGCCGGCGGAGGGCGGAGGGCGGAGGGCGGAGCGCGGAGCGCGGAGCGCGGAGGGCGGGCCCGGGGCACCCGGAGGGCGGGGCGCGGCGGCGCGGAGGGGCAGGGCCCCGGGGCGGGGGGCGCCGGGGGCCGAGCCTCGCGCTCACAGGCCCGCCTGCCTCCCGCGGGCGCCGGGAGAAGCCGAGACGTTGGCCCTCCCAGCTTCCTAGAGAGGCCCCGGGCGGCGGCGCGCGTGCGCGAGCGGAGCCGACGGAGGGGCGGGAGCCGGGCGCGGGGTGCGGGGCGCAGGGCGCGGGGCGCGGGGCGCGGGGCGCGGGGCCCTGGGCCGGCGGCGTGGCCGGAGGACCGAGCGTCGGGGGCCCGCGGAGTCGGTGAGCGGCCGGGCGGGGCGCGGGGGCGGCGGGGGCCGCCGGGCGGGCGCTCCGGGGCCGGGTTCGCGCGGGCTGCGGGAGGGGCTGGAGGGGCGGGAGGGGCGGGAGGGGGCGGCCGGGGCCGGGCCTGGAGGCTGCGCCGGGGGCGGGCGGTGTGGCGGGGGCTCCGGCGCGGACCTGGAAGCGCCCTGGCTTCCGCGCTGTGTCCTTTCTCCCAATTACGCAAACAAAGCGGGTCATTATGGACTATTAGACGACGCGGGGGAGTGCCCGGAAAGGAAGAGTAACCGCAGTCCGCGGAGTTCGCTGTGGGTGCTCCGGGAGCTGTGAAATGTGCGGATTGTGCGGACTCCTAGACACGCACGCACGGACGCAGCACTCCTCTGTTTGTCCAAGTGCGGCGTCACTCAGTGGCGTTAAGTGCATCCACGCTCTTGCTCCTGGAGAGCCCCACCCCCTTGAGCCGGCGGAATGCACGTGTGCACGTGGTGGTCACACTCGGTGCCAGCGCTGTGGCACCGCTAAGACACGTTTCCGCGAGTATAATGAGAACGTGTTGTTTGCAGTTTAGTTTATTTTCCGTAGTGCACATTGCATGAAGCTCTCAAGGCTCAACAAGTGACGTTTGTGCAGAAAAATGGCAAAGTCTTGTCTCCTTTCAAAATGAAAGCGAAATATATAAAAGAGTCTTTATTTTCGGGGATATATTCTTAAGAGATTTTATTTTAATAAAAGGGAGTTTTTAAACAGACGGTGCAGCTCTAACCCGAAACCACTGTACTGTATCCGACTGGCACAGGCCTCAGAAGTCAGGGAATGGTCTCCTTCTGGGTAAAAGTGGTGGCCAGGAGAGAACACCATCCTGTTTGAAACTAGTTCAAGAATGAAAACTCGGTACGTCATTTGCAGGGAAATGACAGCGAGTGGCTTTAGTGGTAATTTGCTGAAGGAACTCGCATCTGCTTACACGGGTGTGTGTGTATGTGTGTGTTTTGAGGGCCTGATGAAGGAGGGGGGGTTCTTACATGTCAATGTTAACGCTGGAGAAAGGCAGACAGACGTTGGTTAAAAACCGTAATCCTTCCTGTAGGTCGAAATGATGGGAATGTTTTGAAGGCAAACCTCAATTTGTACCTAGAAAGGAAACCGACAACAGCATCAAAAATAGTAGCTATGCCACTTTAAGTTTTCTGAGGTCCTCGTGTCCAAGAGGTCTTGGTGTTGAGGCCTTCCGTGATATTGGAGAGATGCTTGGGGTAAATATGCATACTGTATAGTAACCATAACTTACTTTGTTTGGCAGTCTTCAGTATTCTTGTATCAGAAAAAAATCTGAAAGAGCTCCGTCAGGTGAATCATGATGTGCTCTACAAGGTTGAATTTTTGAGCTTAAACATTTCCCTCCCTGATCTCAAACCTCGTAGCCTCCTTCCTTGTTTTATTATACTGCGTCGTGCCGGGCACTAACATACTGTATATTTTCTTCACTTCGTTGTCTGTCTTCCTATAAGCTCTGCAAGGCAGGTTTTTGTTTGTTTGTTTGTCTCTATTCCCTACAGAGACCTTAGTGCTTGGGGCATAGTAGGTGCTCAGTAGATATTGTTAAGAGAGAAGAGTGACAGTGTTTAATAGCTTTGACTGCCAAGTTAATTTGTAACCTAAGATAAAAATAAATCAGAGAAAAAAGATAACACGCTTCCTCAATTCAAAAAGCTTTTTCTTCTTTTTTTTTTTTTAAGATTTTATTTATTTATTAATGAGAGAGAGAGAGAAAGAGAGAGAGTGTGTGAGAGAGCACAGCAGAGACACAGGCAGAGGGAGAGGCCGGCTCCATGCAAGGGAGCCTGACGTGGGACTCAATCCTGTGTCTCCAGGATCGGGCCCTGGGCTGAAAGCGGCGCTAAACCGCTGGGCCACCCGGGCTGCCTGCCGTCTTTTTGAATGATTGTAGACTTACAGGAGGTTGCAGAAACTGTACAGAGTTCCCTGATATTCTTTATTTACTTTGCCTAACGTTAACATCTTGCATAACCATAGTACCGTCGGCAAACTGAAGACATTTACAGCTGCTGACTTTACTTAGAGTTCATCAGTTTCTCACTAGTGACCTTTTTCTGTTCTGGGATCCAATCTAGAATCCCTCATTCCATTTAGTTGTCATGTCTCCTCGATCCCTTCAGTATGTGACAGTCTCTCCATCTTTTCGTGTGTTTTGTGACCTCGACACTTTGAAGTATGTCGTGCTGGTATTTTTAGAGTGACTCTTACTTTGGTTTTGTCAGATGTTTTCTTCTGCTTCCATTGAGGATGGTGTCCATATGTCTTGTTACTGTCGCTATTGTTTTTTTTTTTTTTCTTTTTTTTGGTAGCTATTGGTTTTGACCTGCTGTTGTCTGCCATGTGTCACTACTATAAACCTACTGTCTCTCCCTTTGTAACTGGTGATTATTTCGGGGAAGATACTTTGAGACCTTGCATAGCAATATCCTGTTTTTCCTTAACTTTCACCCACTAATTAGCCCTCCTGGTGGATCTTATTAGTGTAATGGTCTAATGGTCTAATGGTGACTTTCTGTTATTCCCTCCTTTCTGTTAATTGGAATACTGTCAGAGGAAGAGTTGTGCCTTGTTTCCCTTTGTTTTATTTATTCTGTTAGTTATATCAGTGTGTGATGTTGGGTATGTGTTCTTTGGGCTATGATGCAGTGCTGATATTACTTACTTTATTGCTTAAAGTATTCCAGCTTTGGCCATGGGGAGCGCCTTGAGGTTGGCTTCTGTTTCCCCTTGCAGAGCCCACATCCTTTTTGGTGTCTTTCCCCGCCTTCCTGGCACCACAGAATACTCATGCTGTTTCTTCCCTTCCCCAGCCTGGAGACCACCACCACTTCTCCAAGGATCCCTAGTTCTATTTATTGGAGAATGGTACGGAGAAACCAAGTTTTGGGTGCTAGGTTTGAGCTCATTTCTTAAGCGATGTATTTAAGCGTAATGTAACATTTTAATTATGTACTGGAAGCAGTCTTTTTGTTTCCTTATCAGCGTATAAAATAAAGCGTATGTATCCTCACACTGATAGGAAAAACACAAGAATAAGAAAGTGCTTAATGAGGATTTTAAAAGAAAACAAATTCACATTGTGTATGAATTGAAGCAAAATGACAAGAAAGAAAGAAAAGAAAAGAAAAGAAAAGAAAGAAGAAAAGAAAAGAAAAGAAATATTTCTGAAAAATGCCCTGGATAACTGCTTAGGTTTTTCCCTGTGCTTCACAAAGCCATTTTCAATTGTGGGGTTGAGACTGGGGTCAAAGTATGAAGCTGTGGGAGAAGAGGCCTGATCAGCTCAGGTTTCCTCCTGGGCCTGGGGTGAGTGAAGTTTTTCTTCTTTCTCAAAAACTAGTTGGGACATGGAGAAACCTTGAGGCATTGGGATACCTGAACTGGGCAGGTTCAGCTCACTGGTCCCCATGTCTTCCCTGTGCCCTGGCTCTTTCATCCGGATTCGGAAAGGCCCTGGGGGCAGGCATGTCTCTCCGTATTTGTGGTGCTTCCTTTGGTTGGAAACCTGAAATCCTTTGCCAGATTCCTGGCTTTTGCCCTCATTTTCCTGTCTGTCAGTCTTCTCATCACCTCTGTCCAGATGCTTCACTGACCTCTTCAGACATTTCCGTAACAGCTGCTTCAGAACAGGTCTGCTTGGAGGCTTGTTTCTGGTGCTAATTGCACTGTGGGTCTCCATTTCCTGAGATAGGTCTTGTCATTTATATTTCCTGCTTGGTGCATTTCTTCAGAATATTTGTCTCTGGCCTCAAGTGCATTCTCTTTAGCCTCACTGCCTGATTTCTGGTTACCCTGAGCAGCTTTCTTGTTCTTCCACACTTCAGTTTCTTGCTCTTCTCCAGTCTGTTCTACAGGCTCTGTCCCTCCTTCTGACTTCTAGCTTCCTTCTGAGCTGTTGTTTCTGCTGTCCATTTGTGCTGCTGGGGCTTACACGGTTGGAACCTGCCCCCTTTTTTTTTTTTAAGATTTTATTTATTTATTCATTCATTCATTCGAGACACACAGAGAGAGAGAGAGAGAGGCAGAGACACAGGCAGAGGGAGAAGCAGCCTCCATGCAGGAAGCCCGACATGGGACTCGATCCGGGGTCTCCACGATCATGCCCTAGACTGACTGAAGGCAGCGCTAAACCGCTGAGCCACCTGGGCTGCCCCTGAGCCTCTTCCGCTTGATCCTGAGGCACCCTTTCCTTTCAGCCATCTTTTATTGTTGCTGATCTTCAAGTCTGTCTGTGGGCCTTGGGCCACCTACTTTATCAGTCCATCCTTTTCCTTTGTTTTGTTTTCTCAAATACTACTTCTTCTTTTTCTCCCCTAGTTTTTTACAGCAAGGCTTCATTTCTCTGCCAGAACTTTAGCAGACTCCTCAGCCTGTGTGATCGTTAATGTAGTCCTTTGCTTGACTCTTCATGCCCTGAGAACAAGAGTGTAGTTTCTTTCTGTTACCTGGATGGCAGCCTGCTTTCTCCTGGGAGCCTCTTTCCATCTGTGTTTAGTCATTCTTTTTTTGTGTGTGTCCTGATGCCATCGGCTGAATCTGGAGGATGGTGAGTATGTATTGGCTTCTGATGAAGTAGGGGATGGCTTCTGAGTGAAGGTAGTGATTTTTTTAAATGTACTAAATGGTGGTGGGAGATGCGGGGTGGTCTCTGGGGAAGATAAGCATCATCTGTGACATGGTGCACTGAGTTATGAAGCCATGTTCCTACTGGTGCCTAGGTGTGCTGTTATCTCACTTTTTTTTTTTTCTTCATATTTGTTTAAGCTTTCTCAGCTGTTTTTCTTTGCACATTGTGTTTTGGGTAGCATTTTGTTTCCTCATTTGCCTGGTTGCATCCTACATTCTTCTCTTTTTCATTCAGATCTCTCGAATTGGATTGCTCTTTTGGTGGCTAAAGAGAACTAAGATTGTGTGGGTTTGTTTTTCCTTCTTCAGTTTCT